AAAAAAAAAAACTGATGGTTGGACAATTGTTTTTCTTATTTCTGAGTGACAAAAATTGAATTTAACAACTATAATTGAATAACAATTAAAATAACGTAAAAATGAAAAAAACGTAAAATTTGAAAAAAGAAACACAAAATTAAAAATTGAAAAAAACAAAAAATGTAAAAAAAGCTGCATCAGCAATAAAAAAATTATTAATTGTATCTCAGTTTCACTGCTTTAGCTGTTTCCTTCAAAAATTTTTCCAGACTAATTTTGTGCCTGTTGAACAATTGACACAGATTCTTCAGGTTGGCATCCCTCTTCTTCTGCTCACCTCAGGGTAGAAAAAGGGATTTGAGGATGAAGTTGGGGAAAAATCCAATTTTTTTTTCTTTTTGCACAGAAAAATTTTGTGGGAAAATGAAAGACATCCTATGCTAAGCAATGGGCTTTTTCTTGGATTAATCCCAACTTTGCCTCAGCCCACCTGGAAGGTCTTTTCTTACCTTCAGAAAACTTGAAACACCACAGCATACGAAAATAATCTGATTTTGGCCAAATTTTTTTTCATTTTTGGTGATATTTTGTATATTTGGGGATTTTGCATTTTCGGGGATTTTAGTAAATGGGGATTTTTATTTTGGGGCAATTAGACACCAGGGGGAATAAACGTCGGGGATTTTAAAAATCGGGGATTTTAGAGTGGGGGAATAGAGGCGGGGGAATTAGAATCGGGGGAATTGTCCATTTCCCTGATTTATTGCATAAAAATGCATAGAAATTGGGGAAGAGCAGGTCCAACAGCACTGAAGTGTTCCCAAATGATGGGGCTATGGGAGTCCAATACTTTTTCAGTTGGTGAAATCCTGCTGAATCTATTTCAAAAAGTCTCAAAACTTATGAACCAACCCTTGCATACACCAGCAGGGCAGGGAAATAGCTTTTATTTCTTGGCATCATGACAACTAGTGGGGGAACCAGACACAAGCTAATCTTCAAAAACATGACCTCATCAAGGAAGGGGAATTTCTTTTCTGGGCATCAAGACAACTACAGTAGTTTGGAGACTGCTTAAAATTACCATGTTTCCTTATGTCTTGGACAGCAGAGGGTTTGTTTTCAGTGTGTGGTGAAGTTGGGATTTTTCCAGGGGGAGAGTGGCACATTTCAGTTTGACCCAAGTTCACATTACTGAAATGCAACCAGGTTGGGAAGGCCTGAGTTGGAAAAAATCTGGGAGGTGCATTTTCTTTTGTTTTCAGGATTTTCTCATGCAAATTCTAGGCCAGGAATGCAGGGAAAAATGCCATCCAGTGAGTGATTTTTTTTGCTTTTTCATTCAAAGTTTGCTGCAGGATGTGAAAAAAACATCAGACTTTTTCCCGACTTAGGTCTTGGACAAAAAGTAGAGTTTTTTTTATTCCAGCGCCCATTGGCACAACATTTTGCAAAAATATCCCAACTTTTCTGCACAAGGGTCAAGTACCACACACCCTCTTGTATGAAACATGTACCTTAATTTTTGTTTTAAAAAAAATTTGTCCAAAATCCTGCCCTGTATAATACTTTCTTGCCCATTTTCTTGCTTCCTGAAATTCATGAATAGTGAAATCTTTTGTGTGGTTTCATTTTCCTAATTGATACTTTTTCTTTCCTGTTCTTTACTGTCTTCAGGAGCAGTTAAAATGTGCTTGAATGCAATACATGGCAACTTCCACAATTAGATGCATATTTTCCTCATCTTCTATACTCACTGATGCATCTCCATCTGATACAATACTGAATTTTTAATAGCTTTAACCATTACTTTCCAAGGACAAGAAGTCTTGGAGCCACAAATGTCCTCATCATCTTTTTTTCCTTTGATAACTTTCATTTTTGAGGGGCACAGGTTTTGGGAATTATTCCTTTAGCCCTTGGACAGAAAAGATGAATTTTCTGCAAAATTTGCTGCCTGCACAAACAGCTTTAAACATACCGGACAGTACACCCAGGGCAAAGTCAGGATAATCTGGGTGCTTTTTTTAAAGCACAGAAAATGTTCTCCGAAAAAAAATCCATCCCCAGGGCTTTTTCTCCCCTGGCTGGATTAGTTTCGTTATTGGGAGGCTCTCAATCCTTTTATTTTTGGTGCCAGATGAAGGGTTATATTTGCAGAAAGAGCTCAAATTAGGGAAATTGAAACAGAATGGTTCTCCAGGAAAAAGTCCAGCTTTCATGTCCTTCAACAAAAATTAAGCATAGGCTCACCCAAGAAAATCCCAACTTAGTCCTGCAATGGGAAAGAACCCTTCACTGCAGAAGAGTTGAAAAGGTATTCATAAGTAACATCATGCGCACCCTGTTTTTCCTCACCTTTTTTCTGAAATTTCGGAAGAAAAAAAGGGTGCGCGTCATAAGCAAGTACAAAATTTTAAAGAAGTTTTTGGAAGTTGTGGGTTAATTATACTTGATTATAATGGAGAAATTTGTGAAAAATGTACCAAGAAAACTTTTTTTACTGAAAATTTTGAAAATTGATCAGATTCATGTTCAATTCACATCCAAAATCAAATTTTTTGTTTTTTTTTCGATATTTTGTGGTTTTAAAGTCACTAAAAATGCACTGCGCGTCTTACTTGGGGATACAATTTTAGCCAAATTTTGAACTAAAAAAACCCCAGTGCGCGCCTTAATCAAGGGCATGGGGTACTCCAGTAAATACGGTACCCGGTGGCCCAAAAATCCTGTGAGGCCAACAACCCTGTAGGGATCAAAATCTGGCAGTGTCCAAAAAGCCCGTAGGTAAAAAAAAAAAAAAACCTGTGTGCTGCTACAAAATCTGTGTTTTCCTCCCAACTGTCTGGAAGGAATAAAAATCTGGTGGATTACTTTCTTGATGTTTTCAGGAAATTATTGGTTCTGAGCCTTCCGGTTGTGAATTTATACTTAATGTTGTCCATCTGTTTACGTATAGGAATCGATTTCATAATAATGGAAGACCTTCCAAAAATTACCTTGGACAAATGATAGACATTTAGAATAAATGAGTACCTTATTTCGTGGATCATTCGAAGTCTCTCTTTTTTTTCAGAGCGCCAACCAACTACAGCCATCAACCTGCACGAGTGATAATTTAGAGCTATGAAGCTTTATCTATTTTTGATGATACACTTCTCCGAATTTGAACTTCCCAACGGGATGCATTGAGTCCATAAAGAATGCAAAAACAGTACAGTACGTCATTTACTCATTTTAAACCCATCATAGTCTAAGACTGCGAAAACGATAAAAAAGTAGTTGCTTGAAACCCGAAATGGAAATTCCATCCATAGCAATCTCATCTTAATAAATATGCGGTGATCGTAAAGATTCTTTAAAATCAAATTTTTTCGAGATTGACTATCAGTTTTGCTTTTGCTTTTTGCAGATCCTGCAATTTAATAAAAAATGAAACTCACCAAAGTCGACAGCAGAAACTAAATGATTTTAGAACCACGAGACTAAGAATATAATAATTCTATGAAAAATAATTTCTTGATACAGAACCATAAATCCGGTTTCGGTCCAGTAATCAATCTCATCAAGAGAAATTCAGTACAGTGTATGCTGATCATAAAATTTCGAAGCTTCTTCGAGATCTATTTTTGTCCAGATTGACTATACCTTCGATTTTCTTCTCATTTTTCACAGATTGTTAAAGGTATTGAAAAGTTGAACTCGAGGTAACAATTTCCACCCATAGCAATCTCATCGAGAAAGACATATATGGAGATCATCCTGAACTGTCAAAGATTATTAAAAAATATTTTTTCAAAGATTGACCTTCAGTTTTGTTCTACTTTTTCAGCATAGATTGACCACGTGGTATTTAAAAATTCAAGTTTTGGTAACCTATTCTAAGCCCCATGAAAATCTCGATCATCCGGGGAAAAGAAAATTCTTAATATTGTACGCAGTTTAGAGTTCTACTTTTTCACAGATTGGCGAAGTCATTCAAAAATTAAACTCAAGACTCAAGGTGTGAGGGTTCTAACAAAAGTTCTCGGAGTAGCAATGAAAATGGCTTACAATTGAGCTGAAAAAAATAATTTTTTAGGAAAAACATACTCTTTGGCACACAAAAAAAATCAGCCCTGTTTGACAATTTTTTTGAATTTTTTTCATTATTCACCGTGGCAGAGTTTTGCTCTCCACTCAAAAGATGAGGCGCTCTTTTTTTGTTGTAGCCCAGCTTTCCCCGCAGAATTTTTGAAATCAACATGGCATTCTTTCTAAAGGTTGCCTCCAGGTATGTTTTCCCTAAAGAATAAATTTTTTTCAGCTCAATTGTAAGCCATTTTCATTGCTACTCCAAGAACTTTCGTTAGAACCCTATGTATTCCACCCATAAATAGCCCTCTCATCGAGCGAAATATGCGCTGAAAATCGTGAATCGATGAAGATTCTTATCAAACTACTGTATACTTTTCTCAAGATTGAACTTCAGTTTTGTGCTACCTTTTCACATGCAGATTAACAAAGGTATTGCAAAAAACGAGACTCACCAGAGCCGACAGCAACGGTGGAGCTGGTGAGAACCACACGCTTGAGGCGCTTAGGGTTCTGAGTGGCGCAGGCCCTGAGCACGTTCAGCGTGCCTTCCACTGCGGCTTGCTGCACCTCGGACTTGGCCCTGGCCGACAGCTGGGCCAGTGGGCCAGGGAACGGACATGCCACGTGCAACACGTAGTCGCAATCCCGCACTGCCCTAAGCAACGAATTTCATCAGAGTGAACAGAGTCACACTATATGCACACGAATGTTGTCCCAGTTGATGGACGCGGCCTTTGATATTTCTAGAGTGGATGTGATTACTGTATTGAACATAAATTCTGACGTTAGCCGGTGATGTTCACAGGTTTGGAGATTTTTTTCAGGTTTAAAAAATTGTTTTTGAGTTTACTGCATGATGATGAGGGAAAACTTTCTAGTTACAGAGTTCTCCATCGGCATTCATGTCGCGGGGTGCTGAAAATTTGTCAGGTCAGTTATCAAATCAAAATTATTCTTTTTTCTAATACCCAAGTAACTTTCTATACATTCTAGATCATGGTTCTCAAAAATCATTTTAATTTACCTGTTGAAATTTCAGCACCCTGTGACATGGAGGGAGAACTCTGGCTGCAACTGGAAAGTTTTCACTGATCATAAAACAGTAAATTAAAAAGAAATGATTACCCTTGTGCAACAAAGTTGGGATATTTTTGCGAAGTGTTGTGTCCATCCAAGACAACTTAAACCTTGGATGACAGAGGGTTCCTGGCCATCCTGCAGCAATGTCAGAATTTTTTTGGGGTCAGCTCATTTTAGTTTGACTGAAGGTCAGTGAAATGCACCCAGGTTTGGGAAAGCATAAGTTGGAGAAAATCTGGGAGGGGTGAATCCTTTTGTTTTCAAAAATCTTCAATTCTAATCCTATGCTAGGATTTCCTGAAAACACACAGATGAGGAATTCTTTTCAGTCACATTTTTCTGCAGGATTATAAAAAAATATCAAACTTTTTCCCAACTTAGGCCTTGGCTCACGAATCAATTTGTTTTCAGTGCTCATGAGCACAAACTTTCACAAAAATATCCCAAATTTACTGAGAAAGCATTAAAATATATATGTATCAACTGAGAACAAGCAAGGCCTAAGTTGGGGGAAAAGTCTGGATTTTTTTTCTCTGCTGTCAGGAAAATTTTGCAGGAAAAAGTTCTTACTGGCAAGTGACATATTTCCTGCATTCCTGAAATAGGATGAGCATTTAAGATTTCTGAAAACAAAAGGATTAACCCCTCCCAGATTTATGCCATTGCAGGACTTCTTAACCCAATCACATTTTGGTGACCTTGGGTCAAACTGAAATGGACCTGTTCAGAAAAAATCCTGTATTTTGCCATGAGATGGAAACGAGGCAGCTGTCATCTGAGGGCTGAAAATCCTAAAAAATCCCAGGACCTTAGGACACTGTGGGCTATGTGATGATTTTTTTTTCAATCACTCCTATTCTAAAAATGTCAGAGGTCACATATATGAGTGGGACATCCATTTTGTACCTTGTGTTAAGTAACTTATCAACTATTCACTAATACATCTCAATATATAGCAGGACTTCTTCGGTTGACATCCATTTCTCAAGTGCACCCATTCCTAGGGAAAGAAATACATTTTGAATACCATCAGGTTGAATCTCTGTGCAACAATCTTGTTTCAACAACTACCAGCAACAGCTGCCAAGTTTTCAAAGAGACTTGACAACCTAAAAAATTGACGATTGACTTTCCATGACGAGCTAAAAGCGAGTGAATATGAAATGTTCTGGCTTTGAAAACAGTCGGAATGTGAATCTGTTGAATGGCGGCAGTGTTCCGCAAATCTTTCAAAAATAGCATGATTTTCCTCCTGCAACATTTTTGCATAATTAATCGCGAAAGAGGCTTTGAAAAAAAAGACCTCATTGCAATAAAATATGCGTTGCCGCTATTTTAATCCCAAGAAGACAAGTCGTCATTTTTACTGGGTAAAATTTAAGATATGAATAAAGTGAGGTGCTTAAATCCCGGCCTTTAAAACGTGCAGAAATTTTTTTTCTCATTTATATTAGTACTTCAAGCCAAATACTGGAGGATGATTTACGATTCCTGTTCCTCTGGCGAGAGATCAAATTCTTACGGAATTTGTCATGATTATGCAAATTTAAGTACCATCAGTTCGTGGACGCACCCAGAAATAAATTACGTTCAATGGTTTCCCCATCAAAAGGTTAATAGGAACAACACGCCTTTTGCAGCTTTATGATCTGAAACAGTTCATCTCCATCATTTTAATTAAGTTAAAAACTGTTAATTATTCTCAAGTTGCAAAGGATCAACGAGAATCTTTTCGAGGTCTTGTGCGGCAGGTGAGCTTATAAATTACTTAATTTAAGTAGAAAATATTTAAATTTCAGCGAAGTTGTGTTGAATATACACGCTTTTATTTCCCATCCGCTTTCAAATTATCCACGTTTCATTATTGATTCTACGAACAAAATTATTCTCCCAGTTCATGCATAAAATATTAAACCATGCCAGAGAAAAACAGATCTCAAATATGTGCTCTTAGCGAATTTTTACGTTCATGAGGCAAAGCTTCTTTTAATTTAAAAGTATCGAACGTTCCCAAGTCTCGAATAATGTTAAATATACATTACTTGCAAACAGCCAATGTCAGGTTTTTGTAGTCTAAAAGTTGTAATTTCTGGCCAGGTTGTTTTATATTGAACATAATTTTTACGCATGCTGCAGCTAAAGATTTAAACTGATATTATTCACAGACTCAGGTTAGTCATTATTGACCATTGTAATTATGTGATTATATACTTCAAGAAAGAGAACACGACGTGGAAAGCTTATTTTTGGTACAACTTCGCGGAACGCCAGCAGATTTTCAAGGAAACTTGTAGGAATTGCGAAATCTTCGATTATTTATATTCTTTACATAAAAGCTCATTAGTTTTCGCCGAGAGTATTTTGAAAAAAAATCAGGTTTAAAAAAAAAACCGTCAAGACAGGTGGATTCAGCGAAAAACTCCAACCTTCGAACTTCAGCTTTCTTATCACATTTAGGTTCCCTGCTGTTTTTTTTATTCACCCTTACTATCAACTTTCGCAAGACTTCCAAGTGATAAATCAATCGTAAGTTCGTTTGGCATTATTCAAAAGATGCTCACGGAATTATGCTCGCNTTTTTTTTTTTTTTTTTTAGTAAAATGGTTTATTTCTTTGCTTCAGGAAATCGCTGCACATTGAGTAGAGTGCAGTTGGACCCCCCACAAGGATTTTCTCAATAGAGCAAACAATTTTTGTTCCCATAGTTTTCTCGACCCATGTTACGGAGGTTCTATGTAAACATTTTTTTGTCGTTGTAGAGAGTATGTACTGTATATTCACTATGTTGTATGTAACTTGTCCATTTCGGTAAAGGCTATACTGTATCCTCTTTGTCATACAGTATTGATCTAAGAATTTTATGGATGTTCAACATTTTTTAACTTAGCTTTACTATGCGTTTTTATTTTCCAATTCTGCGCTTCCCTTCTCAGAATTTATTCCATCAGTGTACACAGCATAGAATATGGCTTTGTGAGCTTGAAATGTATTCTGTGTGATTTTTTTTTTACAATCACACCTATTCTAAAAATGTCTGAGGCAACATATACGACTGCGACAGCCCTTATTGTACCTTGTGTTGAGTAATTAATCAACTATTCACTAATACATCTGAATATATAGCAGGACTTCTTGGGTTGACATCCATCTCTCAAATGCACCCATTCCCAGGGAAAGGAATACATTTTGAATACCATAAGGTTGAATCTCTCTGCAATAATCTTGTTTCAACATATTTCAACAGCTACCAGCAACAGCTGCCAAGTTTTCAGAGAGGCTTGACAACCTAAACATTTGATAATTGACTTTCCATGACAAGCTAAAAGCGAGTAAATATGAAATTTTGTGGCTTTGAAAGCAGTCGGAATGTGAATCTGTTGAATGGCGACAGTGTTCCGAAAATCTTTCAAAAATAGCATGATTTTCCTCCTGCAATGTTTTTGCACAATTAATCGCGAAAGAGGCTTTAAAAAAAAGACCTCATTACAATAAAATATGCGTTGCCGCTATTTTAATCCCAAAAAGACAAGGCGTCATTTTTATTGGGTAAAATTTAAGATATGAATAAAGTGAGGTGCTTAAATCCCGGCCTTTAAAACGAACAGAATTTTTTTTTCTCATTTATATCAGTACTTCAAGCCAAATACTGGAGGATGATTTACGATTCCTGTTCCTCTGGCGAAAGATCAAATTCGTACGGAATTTGTCATGATTATGCAAATTTAAGTACCATCAGTTCGTGGACGCACCCAGAAATAAATTACGTTCAATGGTTTGCCCATCAAAAGGTTAATAGGAACAACACGCCTTTTGCAGCTTTATGATCTGAAACAGTTCATCTCCATCATTTTAATTAAGTTAAAAACTGTTAATTATTCTCAAGTTGACGAAGGATCAACGAGAATCTTTTCGAGGTCTTGTGCGGCAGGTGAGCTTATAAATTACTTAATTTAAGTAGAAAATTTTTAAAAAAGTCGCTTCAACACAACTTATATGTGCGAAAATAAAGGGTAGGCGAAAGTTTAATAGGTGCAAAGTAATAACTAAGATGCTTGTTTTAATAAGAGGGTCAAGTACGTATTTTATAATTTGGTACGGAGAGAAAAACAGATCTCAAATATGTGCTCTTAGCGAATTTTTACGTTCATGAGGCAAAGCTTCTTTTAATTTAAAAGTATCGAACGTTCCCAAGTCTCGAATAATGTTAAATATACATTACTTGCAAACAGCCAATGTCAGGTTTTTGTAGTCTAAAAGTTGTAATTTCTGGCCAGGTTGTTTTATATTGAACATAATTTTTACGCATGCTGCAGCTAAAGATTTAAACTGATATTATTCACAGACTCAGGTTAGTCATTATTGACCATTGTAATTATGTGATTATATACTTCAAGAAAGAGAACACGACGTGGAAAGCTTATTTTTGGTACAACTTCGCGGAACGCCAGCAGATTTTCAAGGAAACTTGTAGGAATTGCGAAATCTTCGATTATTTATATTCTTTACATAAAAGCTCATTAGTTTTCGCCGAGAGTATTTTGAAAAAAAATCAGGTTTAAAAAAAAAACCGTCAAG